GGAGCAAAAGGGGAGCAAAAGGGGAGCAAAAGGGGAGCAAAAGGGGAGCAAAAGGGGAGCAAAAGGGGAGCAAAAGGGGAGCAAAAGGGGAGCAAAAGGGGAGCAAAAGGGGAGCAAAAGGGGAGCAAAAGGGGAGCAAAAGGGGAGCAAAAGGGGAGCAAAAGGGGAGCAAAAGGGGAGCAAAAGGGGAGCAAAAGGGGAGCAAAAGGGGAGCAAAAGGGGAGCAAAAGGGGAGCAAAAGGGGAGCAAAAGGGGAGCAAAAGGGGAGCAAAAGGGGAGCAAAAGGGGAGCAAAAGGGGAGCAAAAGGGGAGCAAAAGGGGAGCAAAAGGGGAGCAAAAGGGGAGCAAAAGGGGAGCAAAAGGGGAGCAAAAGGGGAGCAAAAGGGGAGCAAAAGGGGAGCAAAAGGGGAGCAAAAGGGGAGCAAAAGGGGAGCAAAAGGGGAGCAAAAGGGGAGCAAAAGGGGAGCAAAAGGGGAGCAAAAGGGGAGCAAAAGGGGAGCAAAAGGGGAGCAAAAGGGGAGCAAAAGGGGAGCAAAAGGGGAGCAAAAGGGGAGCAAAAGGGGAGCAAAAGGGGAGCAAAAGGGGAGCAAAAGGGGAGCAAAAGGGGAGCAAAAGGGGAGCAAAAGGGGAGCAAAAGGGGAGCAAAAGGGGAGCAAAAGGGGAGCAAAAGGGGAGCAAAAGGGGAGCAAAAGGGGAGCAAAAGGGGAGCAAAAGGGGAGCAAAAGGGGAGCAAAAGGGGAGCAAAAGGGGAGCAAAAGGGGAGCAAAAGGGGAGCAAAAGGGGAGCAAAAGGGGAGCAAAAGGGGAGCAAAAGGGGAGCAAAAGGGGAGCAAAAGGGGAGCAAAAGGGGAGCAAAAGGGGAGCAAAAGGGGAGCAAAAGGGGAGCAAAAGGGGAGCAAAAGGGGAGCAAAAGGGGAGCAAAAGGGGAGCAAAAGGGGAGCAAAAGGGGAGCAAAAGGGGAGCAAAAGGGGAGCAAAAGGGGAGCAAAAGGGGAGCAAAAGGGGAGCAAAAGGGGAGCAAAAGGGGAGCAAAAGGGGAGCAAAAGGGGAGCAAAAGGGGAGCAAAAGGGGAGCCTGAGCCCCTGCCCCAGGGCAGCAGCAGACTGAGCACAGCAGCCTTCACAGCCACCCCATCCCAGGGCATGGGCCAGCGATGGGAGACAGTAATTTGCCCCACGACCTTCCCTGTCGTTCTCTGCATCAGAGCCATTAAAAAGCTGATGGGGTCCAAGGTGAGAGCAGCCTCCCCCTGCCCAGCACCACCTTAATGGAGCCCCACGCTGAGCCCCCCTGCTCTCCACCTTAAGATGGCCCGTGGGGCTGCTGCCAGTTCCCGAGATGCACCAGGCAGGCGGCTCCAACTCCCAGCCCTGGACACATCCCGGTGCCTGGAGCAGCCTGGCAGTGATGCCCTCCTGGGGGGAACAAACCCTCCGGCTCAGGGGACACCTCCCCACCAGCTCCATGTCATCCCAGCCAGGAGGAAGCAGCAGGATGAATCCTATTTCCACCACCACCACGCACCCCCCTCTTTCTGCTGCGACTACACCCCGTGGCTGCAGGGAGGGGACGTGCTGGCAGAGCAGCCCAGGCGTCCCCACCCAGCCAGTGACGAGGCAGCAGGATCCTGGGATCTCCTAGCCTCGATTCCCGCCCAATATCTCCGGCGGGACAGATGGAAAATATGGCTAACCGCCTCGGCTTGACTCATACCAGCGCCAGGGCCGGGGAGGCACGGCGTGTGCCGCGGGCAGGCGTGCCGGGCACACACACACGCTCCCGCACGAGGACGCAGGATGCTGCCACGGGGCACGGCAGGCTGCACGTGTGGCTCCTCCAAAGCCCCCGTCCCACCTACGGGCATCACCTAGAGCTGCCCCCCACCCTCCTGGGGCCTTTCAACGTATCTGTGCTGACTCAGGGAGGGTTGTGAAGAGCAGAAGCCGTGGGCACGTACCCTGAGCACGCTCCAGGCTGGCAGAAAATCCCTCCTGGCTGGGGCCACCGCAGGGCCTGGGGGGACCCATTCGTGGGGGAGTGGATTAGAAATTTTGGATGGAGGCCACAAGTCACAGCAGGAGAACAAAACCCTGTGCAGCCACCGGTCCCTGATTAGAGGGGAGGACCTGCAGCCCGGGAAAGCTGCTTTTGGGTTGCAAAGCTTTCCTGCAAGGAGCCCCCAGAGAAGGCTCCGTGCCCCGGCTCGGGAAGGAGGCGGCAGCCCCGGGAACTGCTACCACCAACGGGTGAGTCAGGGCAGTGTCTGCTGACACTTGTCACCCAGGGGAGACCAGGAAGGGAGACGCTGAAATCCGTGACTCACCGAAGGCGCCTGTGCTTCGCCGCCACAGTCCCGCTCCCCTTCCCACCCTACCCGACCCAGCCCCGGGCCAGGTCTGATAGAGGAGGTGGGAAGCCAGCACCCAGCAGCGAGCCACCCTGTTGCCAATCCCCTTTGCGAGGAGCCCTGAGGGATTGGGGTCCCCCAACACCTTTTAGAGCAAGAGCCAGAGGAGCAGGTCCCAGCAGACCCCCCCACCCCGATGCCAGAGGCCCCCTCGCTGCACAAACACCCATGTGTGGAGACCCCACCCTACGAGGAAAAACCACCCTTGGGGTGAAGGCAGCGCCCTGGGGGGACTGTGGCTAGCACCTGCCCGATGGGGACAGTGCCAGGCTCGACCGAGGACAGCCAGTGATGTGGCACGGAGAGGGGCAGCAGCACCCAGGGGCGGGAGCCACACACACCCGGATGGGATCATCTGCTCCAGCCACTGCCCACAACGAGCTGCTGTGTTTCAGAGTGGGGCAGGAGGTCTGGGAGGACTCCCCAGACAGGCTCTGCTGTGCCAACCCTCTCCTCTGGTGGCACCAAGGGAGAACACACGGGCACGCGCCTCCTGCCCATGCCGGGTGGGAGCTGCGCCCCATCCCCACGGGATAACGAGAAAAGGGATAATGAGCACAGGGACGGGCACCAAGTTCTGCACGGTGCTGGCTACTGCAACACGGAGCGGGGACACACACGCAGCGGTGCCCTGCCTCGTGCCCACGGGCCCAGTGACGCTCTGGGGCTTTGGCCGGGCAGTGCCAGGGTGTGCAGGCAGAGAGGGGCTTGGGGTCAAGTCCGAGTCAGCCCCAGCTCTCCCCAAAAGACCCTCCAGAGGGAAAAAGCCCCACACTACACGTGCTAAGGTGTAGCTGGAGTTCCCCAGACTGCATGTCTTCCACTAAACTCCAGCCGGGACATCCCACCCTGCAAACACCTGAGCTCGCCTGCGGTGCCCTGTGCTCCTCCTAAAAATCCCAGCTTGTAGGAAATCACCTTTTCTTTGCTCTCTGGGCTCAACAGGACGGGGTTTGGGACAGGCAACAAAGCTCACCTCGGGAGCAAGAGGGTGAGGCAGGGATACACTGGGGGCACAAGAAACAGCAACACCAACCCGGGCCTGGAGGCAGTACTCGGGATGGGAGGGCAGCCCTTTGTCTTCCCGGAGCAAGAGCCGTCGGGCCAAGGCAGAGCCTTTCGGGTTCGCTTCCCCCCACTCCCCTCTCCTCCCACCCTCAAAGGAGCACGCTCCCAGTTTGGCAGGGCCAAACACATTGTTTTGCGACCTGCACTTGGTATTTCCACCGGGACTCCCCCCCTCTTCTCTAATGACATCCCGATATTGTCTCCCCTTCCCGGTCCCACTCGCAGCTGGGAAACACGCTAATCCCCAGCTTACGGCACTAATAATAACCCACAAGTTTTCACAGCCACGTCCCCCATCCCACACAGCCACCGCGGGGCCGCATCCTGCCAGCCCCAGGTAAACCCTCGGTGCCATAAGCAGGGGGTCTCTCTGCCCTGTACCCCCTTTTAATGCCAAAGAAGGGGTACACTGCCGTGCAGAAGCCTGCTACGCCATGAGCCCCAGCTTTCAGGGGGCCCCAAAAGGCCAGCCCAGACCACGGGTGGGAGAGGTGACATCCCTCCACCAAAGCCTCCCAGAAGTGATCTGGCACCCACAGACAAGCGTCACTGCCACCACTCAAACCTGTGATGCTCAGAAGCACCCAACCAGGTTTTAAACTCCCACAGCTGCTCGAGAAGCCTTATAGATCCGGGGGAGACCCACCTGCATCCCCCCACCCCCAGCAGCGACCCCTTTGGGGACGTGCTGCCCATCCCTTGGCGAGATGCTGACACCCAGCAAACAAGCCCAGCCACCTCTCCAGGCGTGCTCCTCAGCGCTCTCCAACCTTTACACTCTCCTTCACCCACACCCCACGCAGCCCTGCCGTTAGTGCTGTAAATCATTAAACGGGAAAAGCTGGCACTGACCTGCGGGGCAGCAGCTGGGCTGCAGAGAGGAGCCCCCCCTACACCCCTCCTCACCCCTGCATGCATCCCACCTCCGCTCCATCCTCCCAGGGGATGCAGGGCTCTGGGGGAACCCCCAGGGAAGATGCTTCTCTTTTGCCTCCTTTTCTATCTTAAACAATCATTTTATTAAGATGCAGGGAGCCACCTCCCACGAGGCTTGCGACGGATGCCCGATGCAGCGGGACCACGCTCTGAGCTCAGCCACAAGACCGTTATTTGAGCCACCATCTCGAACCGTGCCCGGCTCCAGCCAGACCCAGGCAGGTGGTCCCACCTTGCAGACCACAGGATGGCCACCTACCTTCAACTGGCGACGTCTTCAACCTCTTGCAGACATTCTGCACGCCGCCATAGGAGTCATTGAGCCGAGCGACCGCCTCGGCGCTCCTCAGCTCCATCAGGTTCCTGAGCTCCACCATGGAGCAACCAAAGTCCCCCTCATGGTTGCCTTCGGCAACCGAGTTCCCGGGGTGGTGGTCAGCCACGTTGTTCGTCATCTTGCCGGCGCAGTGGCTCCTGCAGCACCCTCCCTCGAGGGTCCAGCGGGGGGATGCTCGGCACGGCCCCTTCCCTGGGGGCTGCCCGGGTGAAGCAGGTGCCTCTAACCGAGCCCAACTTCTCCAGATAAAGGTGTAAACAGGATGTGCATGTTACCGCGGAGGCGACCTTAGCAACGACCAGCGTGCATCTCCCGCAGAAGGAGGAGGGCTCCCTGGATACCACAGCAACTGGAGCTGCAAAAACAAGGATGGGAAACAAAAATATCGGCATTAGGAGGCCTACTAATAAATTCACGCGCCCCACGGGATGGGCGAGCGGGAGCACTGGTACCCAAGGGCGGGTCACCCACCAGAAATACCATGGTTTGGAGGTGCCGGCTCGCTCACCCGACCCCAGAATTCAGCATCATTTGACCAAAAATCCTGGATGAGCTGGAGTTGACCTCAGAGGGAGCTCAGACAGGCTCAACACAGGCCGAGGCGTTTCACGAGCCCTCGGCCACACCGCAGGGAAAACCAGCGACAGCAGGGCCGGGCAGGAAGGGCGCCCAGGTGGTTCTTCACTCAACCCCCAGCTGCCCAGCCCAGAAAAACGCTCCCATTCAGTTTGGTTTAAAAATACATCTTGGCAGTGGAAAACAGCTGCTTCCTCCTGCCGTCCTGGGGCGGGAGCGCTGGCTTGCTGCACTGCCAACAGGTAAGCAGAAGCATCCCACCGAGCTAGCTGGCACGATGGAAGGGAGCTCACAGCACCCAGCAGACTTTTAATCAGCAGAGACACTCAGCAAGAACCAGAGAAGCTACTAAAATCTGCACATTTCTCTAAAATAAAGAGGCTTTTGCATTAATGACTCTTTCAGACTGTCTCAGGAAACCTTCTGTATCCTGCTTGCAAGCTCTCGCGTCGTTCCCTCGAAGGCAACGAGCGGGCTCTCAGCCTCGGCTCTCAAAGCCTCAAACTGGTGCCAGCCAGGTTACACCCCAGCCCTGCCCGCGAGGGCAGGCGAACCCCAAAAGCGCGGGATGCAGCCAGGCAGGGGCCACGGGCACCCCGCAGGTCCTGCCTTTTCCCAGGGGTTTGGAGTCTGGGGTCCCCCACTGGCATCCCAGGCAGATAGGACAGGTGCTGGGGACAGCTAGGGACATGGAGGGAGCAGCATGGGCCAGAGGGAAAGGGCTCTCTCACCCAAGGCACCCTCCAGCTCTGCTCCCAGGCTCAGATGCCAGCAGCGACGCTCCCAGACACCTCTCCAGAGCTACAGAGAAGAGCCTGCAAAGGAGGCTCTTGATGGGGAGAAAATACTTTCCTAGAGCTATATAAATGAGTAACAAAAGGGTAATGGCCACTAAGGCAGCATCAGCACCGAGAGAGAGGTCCAGAGCGGCAGAGCAAGTGCCAGACAAGAATGGGAGGAAGGAGGGAAAACACCACTAGACATGGGATGTGCCAGCCCCCACAGACCCAACAGACAGGCACCAGAGCATTAGGGGTCTGTCCCAGCACCACCCCGCAGCAAACAACCCCGATTCCAGGCCTGGTCACCCCAGCTGTGCAACCTCTGGGGCAGCAAGACCCTGAAAAAAATAAACCTCTCCCCGCACTGCTGACCCAGGGCCTGGCCCCTGTGAGCAGCTCCCCCCCCCGTCCCCACCGCCAGTGACACCCAGGGCAGCTCTCGGCATTATCAGGAGGCAACAGGCACCAACTGAACCTCAGGGACAGCAGCGATGCCACCACCACGGGAGGGTCCTGTCCACCAGCTGCAGGCAGCAAAGGGATGGGGAGCACAGGGACATGCTCCCCCCACAGCACTGCAGCCTCTGGGGCACCCAAACTTGCACCCTCCGGGCAGAGTGTTGCTGATACCCCATAAAGCACCAGGCTAGGGCACCGGTATCCTTGCCCCAGCATCCTTGCTCATGCCCAGCCTGGTCACCCCACGGCTCCTCACGGAGCTGAGCTCATCCATCATTTAAAGGCGTGAAGGCTGCCAGCCGCGGGAGGCAGGAGACGGCAGGTCCAATTAAGCAGACTCCTGCTGATCAAGAGAAAAAAAGATAATTCCCCCCACCTCAACACACTAATTTTTTTCCTCTTTCATAGAAATAACATCTTCTAAGGAGAGCTCAGAGATTAAGAGAAAGGCAGTTAATTAATAGTGTAACGGCCTAGTCCTTAATTACCCCTGAAGGAGCCCACGGGGCACCGATCATCACCAGCCCGTGCCCAGCCGTGTGGCTCCTTCCCTCCAGCAGCGCCAGCCCCGGGGACTTGCTTTGCCAAAAGGAGGGACCGTGGTGGGAGAAGGCTCCTGGCTCTGAGCACCCTCCTCCAGCCCCAGGTTGGGGTCAGAGACCCAATTCCTGGCCAGTCTCTGCCCCACGCTGCCGGCACCGGACGGGCTCCCATGCTCCTTGGCCGTCTTGGGAAGGATCCGTCCCAGACGAGTGGGGAGCTGCACTCAGGCTTCCTTCACCGCCAACGCTCTGACAAGCTCCTAATGACTCTAGGGGCATTCAGCGGGCTGGCCCTAACTCTAGTTAACTCATTTCCAGAGCCCCCCAGCACTGGAGAGGAAGAAGTGCTTCCCAAGGGTCCCCTTGGTGCACTGGGTGAGAAAATACAGCCCAGGTGGGAGAGCCTGAGCAGGGTCCTGACTGCCCTGACCTGGGTGGGAACGAGACCCCCCGAGCCACCAACAGTGCCGCATCACCTCTCCAACAGCATCCCCGAGCAGGACAAGGGTAGCTGCAGACACGGAGGAGTTTGGGGGTGGCAGCCGTGAAGGACACGGACCCTCTCAACCCATGGGTCGGGGTGCGAGATGGGGGAAGGAGCACACATGTTCTGGGAAGGAGAGAGCGGCTGACGAGGAGCGGTGAAGCCGATGTGGTGCTGCAGACAAACCTGCCCAGAATAATAAACGGCTGCATCACACCTCCGTCCTGGCTGGGGAGAGCGGCCGCAGCCCTCTGCGTGTGCCCACCCCAGACAGCGGAGCGGCTGCTGGCACAAGGGAACGGACCCGCTGGCTTTTTTTTTTTTTTTTTTTTTTTTTTTTTTTTTTTTTTT